TATCAGACGCACCTTAGTCTCCAAAGAGACACCACTGCTCTTCAGCACTTTGGAGAGGTCCCTAACAGCCGACTTTCCCATGGCAGTGCGCCTTTTAATTTCCTGGCTGCTGGTGCCAAGACTGTTGACTATGGAGTCAAGCAAGTAGAAAGTTAAAATGATTCTCTAGATTCCTTGAGTTTTAAAAAGGGAACATGTAATGATTATTGCTTTTGCATACTTTCCTTGTGGCCAGAATTGCGTAGCTGGTCTTGAACCCTCAGCTGTTTCACCTGTGCAGAGCCAGGAGCTGGGAGAGAATGATGGGCCTACGTTTAGGATTTATTGCTTTCGGTGGGAAAGTCACAGAAAGGATGAGGATCAGGAAGCTGGACCCCACTAAGGGTGATGTCCTTGTGTTTGTGGGTGCAGCATGTTCTTAACGTGGTACCTTCCAACAAACAGCATTTAATTCTGTAAGCAGTAGTGGATGGCTACCATGTGCACCAGTCGGGCATCCAGTTTACAAACCCACTGGTTGACACAGTCTCTCCAAAGTCGTGTGTGGTCTTGGATCTTTAACAGTTGGGTGGCTGTGATTTTTGGAAGCCAATCTGAGTCTTTTGGAAGTGGTGTGATGAAGTTAGCAAACCTCTAAGTGGTCACTTGAAGATGAGCCCATCTCTCTGTATGATGGAGAGCAGTGCTTCTCCTGGAAGGGTGGTTCATTCTCTCCTTCACTTGCCGTCCTTAGAGATTCTGCTGTGGGACGTTTGGAGTTGGTCATGTGTGGAACCCCCAAAGGGCTTCTTACCCACTACCCAGCTGAGAGCCGCTGCTTTTTGAAGATTGTTCCACAGAATGTTTTGGCAGAGGAATCTCACCTCTCCTAGGAACAATTTTGAAAGGCAAGCCCACTGGCCTGTGTAAGTTCTGGTATTCCTGTTTAGAGTATGTTCCTTTTTCCTTCCTAATACTGGGCAGTTGAGTTGCCCAGTGTGTTTGAAATGATCTGGTTTCTGTTGGCCAGCGTCCTCTTGCTTTGCCGTGGCATAGGACCAGTTGGCAGGCAGATCGACAGGTTTGAGATGCTAGATTTTCTTGGTGACCTTTACAGTGTCACCTCAAATTCCCCTCTTAGTAAAAGGAGAGAGAGAGACACAGAGAGAGAGAGAGAGAGAGATCGATCCTTAAAGAAAAAGGGTCTCTTCTGATAAAGCATTTTGGAATGAATGAGAATGGAGTCGGAGTACACAGCTTCCATCCTGAAACATAAGTGGATTTTCCTGCAGAAGTAGATTTTCCATATTGATTAAACTCTCTACCTATCCCTACTTGGGCATGCTTCTTAATATGTGTTCCTCTGCCTTTATTAAATAGTAGTAGGTGAGGCCAAATGTATTTTTTAGGGACCCAAATAGCTAATGGTGTGATCTGTTTCCCTATATTAATCATAGTGTTGCCTCATACTCTGTGAGGTGATGTCAGGCTGTTTGTCTCTCCACATACTGGCATTTCCCTCCCTTTTTATAATAGCTTTTCTTTTTCCTTTGTGTCATTTGTCCTGTCATTTTCCCTTACTCTCTGTGCTGCACTGGCTTCTAGCAGCTTCTATTATTAATCTCTGGTTTGCGTGGAAGTCTTGGCATTATGTGTACACTAAGAATACATTGGATTTGAATGAGGGCATTGAGTGGCTCCTAAATGTAGTTTACTTAAGACTGCACGGCTTCTGTTTCCTTTTCTTAGTGACTATTGTTGGCTTACTTCCTGGCCCTTGGCTGTATTTCAGCCCCCTATTGTGGAGGTGCTGTTCAAGGGTCATGATGAGAAAACCCAGGGTGTCATCCTCACCCAAGCTCTGTTTGAGTCTCACATGACTTGCCCTTCAAGGCAAACGCTTGTGTTTTTCACTGATGAGGAAAACGAGGCCCAGTAAGATCATGGAGGTAGAGACAGAAAGGTTTCATAGCTGTTCACGCTGGCCACTCAGAGCCAGGGCTCCTGAATCCTCGATCAGACCAGACGTGGTCTCCTGCCGGGCTCTGTCCTGGTGCCCTCCTTGCACATGAACATTTCCAACACGGGATACCTTCACAGGACCAGTGGAGACCGTGAGCCATTTGTTGCTGTTGGGGTCTGTGGAAACCGGCCCATAGCTGACCCTCCAGCAGGTTTTCAGAAGCTGTAAATTTCATGGGAGGAGATTGCTCATTTTTATTTATTTATTTTTTTTTTCACTTGGGGCAGCTGGTGGATTCTAACCACAAACCTTTGTGTTGGCAACACAGCTCTTTACCGCTAAGCCACCAGAGTCCTCTGAGCCATTTGGGTATCTTACGTCTGTTGATTAGTCGTCAAGATTGCTTTCGTTTTGAAGGCATTGGAGGAAAGAGTTTGTCCCCTTTTCTCCATTCACACCCTTCTTCCAGCTCACAGACTCCTACCTTCTCTCTCTCCTTCTCTCTCTCTCCTTCTCTCTCTCTCTCCCTCTCTCCCCTTCTCCCCCCCCCACCTACAAGGCTCAGAAAGGCTCCCTTTCAAGTCACCTGTTCTAGGTAGCCAGCATTGTTACATGGGCCACCAAGATCCACTTAGCTGGAGACCTGGAAAGGGACAGAGCCCTTGCTTGGAAACATTCTCTTTGGGTCTAGAAAGAAGCCCTTAGTTTCCAAGGTGACTGAGCCTGCAGTCTGGGTAGCCGTCTTAGATTGATGATGGCAAAGTGCCCAGGCATGGGGACTGGGCCCTCAGGATGCTCCTGTCCCAGGCCTGGACCATATTCCCAGCAGCACCGGTGGCCCTGAGCCCACTCCTAACCAAGTGGGCAGATGCGGCCATCATGGGATGCCACCCTGCTTTCAGAGGAGCTCATTGCTTGGGTCTGCTTTGCCACATGCCACCTGTAATGGGGACGAGAGCCCGCCAGCTGGCACTCTCCACTAAGCTGCGATGGCCCAATGGGACCAAGGTCATCTTTGGGTCTGGGACAGGGAGCCCTTGGACCCTCCCCACCTTCGCTCACCCAGCAGACTTGGCATGAGCTGAAAGCTGGGGTCGTGCAAGGTGCGTGCAGTCTGCCCAGCGTCTACCAGGTCAGCCGGGATTCCCAGGGCCGGGATTAGACCCTGTCTTCGGAGCACTGCCAACCTCGGATGAGCGTTAGGAGCGAGAGAGAAACGGCGTGGGGGATGAAAAGCCGGCTGAATCGCTTTCAGCCTATTGTTCATCGGGGAAGCTGAGAGGGCACAAGAGGGTAGCCGGCCCCTTTAAACAGCCTTGAACAAGTGAATAGGAGCATCCCATAAAGCATGAAAAGACCCTGGCTGTTTCTACCCCGTCACAATGGGCTGGGGGCTCTGCTGGGAGGGCCTGGCTCTGCTGGGAGCTGGGGAGGGGGCGAGGCTGGGGGTGGGAGGGAAAAGAGGTCACAGGCAGACCCTCAATAGACTCCTAAAATTCAAGTTCATTAGACACAAACCTTAGGGACCTGATGGGCTCTTTGCAGACTGAGCCAGCGAGGACCTTCACAGGCACGCACGCAGCCTGGTAGAAGCTGGGGCGCGACCTGCCCACCTCGACTCTTCCTTCAGGGCTTCAGGGAGGTCATTTCCTCCTCCAGAGCCCACTGCTACCCCAGGAAGGTACCAGCCCTGAAGACCCACCACTGTCAAGGTGGTTCCGACTCACAGGGACTTGCCACACTAAACACTCCCTGGAGGTATATAGACTGTGGGGGCCGTGCTGCTGACCCGAAGGTGGGGTCTCTCTGGCTATAAATAGAAGGACAGTCTTCTCCCATGGGGTTTACAGCTTTGGAATCTTCTGGAGAGCTAGCTGGCTGTGAGTGAGTCAGTTTTTGAAACGTTTATGGGAGGAG